CAATGTTCTTGTCCCTGTAACCTTAAGTGGCAATTTCTCTCTCCCTTGATGTTTCACTGTTAAGGTGTGTATATATAATAACAGGTGAGAGTCCCCATCAATTAAGTCAGGTATGCCACACAGGTGACCTTCAAGTTATATATACGTATTAACCATGTGAACCTCACATATAATAAATATGTAAACGACTAAGTCATTTATCAAAATGGGTCTCGGTTAATATAAAATGAAATTCCAGACGTTCAAAATTATCACATCATATCTATGACGTCTTGCTTTTTAACACTTCCTCCACAGCTTACAATGTCTCTGTAGAGTAGAAACAGTTCGACGCTTTGTTCCTTTCAATACAAACTGCAAAAGTGCTGTCCTTTTCACTTTCTTCAACTTTTCTGCCTAAGTGACTTCCCTCTGTGTAATCAGGCAATCAGGACCAAAAGAACATTACCCGTATGGTGCCTCTACCTCACACTGCCAAATTGTGGGCCCCAGTGTGATGAAATCATCTCCCAGTTGACAGGTTGATGAACAGGTGCCACTCAGGAATTACCTTGATCCTCCCCTATTTATGACTCGCCGCCACGTCTGGATACCTACAGTCCACATAGCGAAGTGACTGATGCTAATTGCATAGGGCTGCATTCATTGTATTTCAGTTCTCAATGCTCTACTGTTACTGTTGAAGAAGATGACTTATTAGAGGCTGATAATGATAGTTCAGTTCTCATCAACGGCTTACTGCATGGTATTCAAATAAGCTGTACCTTTTTTGGGTGCAACGGGTTTATGACATTCCACTGTGTGTGTGTGGTTGTGAAAAATCTTCTTCACTGAGCTTGAATCAAGTTCTGCAGATTTTTCTCAGAAAGTTGTTATCTCAATGACTATCTCCTGAATACTTACAGCCATGACAGCATGGACTGCTAGCACTGACGTAGATGCTGCAGTGGTTATTTGAGTGATGCAATTTTTACTACACTCAACAATTCCACATTATCTTGTCTATTGAGTCTCCCTTGACTATGCTAGTAGTAATGAGTGGCTTATTTCATGGACAACTGTCTCACAGGCAAAAATTACTCTGATGATTTACTGAATTACTCTCAGCTTCGCTGACCACAACCAGGAACAATGGTTATCTAACGTGCCAATGACGTCCTCTGTTTCAGGTCTTCAGGGCAGGGTGACATCACGGTTGACATCCTGGTCGACATCTCGCGACACACCTATCACTTTCTGCATCTACGTGATTCCACCTTTACCATGGCTTTCTGGCTGGTGTCAGTGAGTCTCTGCGATAATACTGGACGTATGTATCTCACAGGAGGGTGCACTTCCATTTTGACAACTGCAAGGGGTGTACTTAAACTATGTTATAAACTTGACCATTCATAAAGACATAAAGTTTTATCTTCGGCCAATTCGATATCAAGTTGTTCCCGTTTACCTCTTATGTTCTGATAACAAGATAAAACTGACCAGACAGACACTCAGTACCTAGCTTCAAAGTTGGCGACATTTTTAAACACAACCTAGCTGGATGTCCTATTACTGTGGGCAGTGGTTCGTAATATATATCAGATCTTTTAACTTGGGATTTATACCGTGTCCACATTCTCAAAGTCTGACCAGGATTGTTTTACAATGATATGATTAAATATTTAATGTCAACATCATGCCCTGGGCTTAATTGTCCCTAATTAGTCAACGTGACATAGCTGACCCCAGTTACTCACTGGCTAATCATTAGATTATTGTGTGGATAAATAATAATAATATAATTATATCTACATTTATTTATGACTGAATGTGTTACCTATACAGACAAGGGTACCCTGCTAAGCATCAAAAAGTCACACATACAAAATAAAAGTTGGTTGTTTTTTATAAGTTTTGTCAAATTCTAGTCTCCTGCTCAACATTACGAATTCACAATGTTTTGCACGTTGCTTTAATTTGGTATTACTTTCTGAGCCAACAATGCCAGCACACAGTGTGTGCTTATTGCTAAAAGTTTAGCCCAACATAATACAGATTCTGGCAAGTTATCTGGTCTGATGCATATAACATCACACAGTACCAAGAGTCTCAATGAAGGCTACCTCGAAAGATTTCCATTCTGACAGGAAAATTACTAAATTGTATGATGATCTCATAGTCAAACAAGTGAGTTTCCCTTGATAATGTTGCCCACATTTATTCCAATGTGGTGTCGCTTAAAAAACATAAACAGACCTCCAAGCTAATTAGCTCCAACTTGTCTAATTCCTATTACTGTTTTTCAGCCCTTCTGTCAGGTATAGTAAGCAGCTAATTGCTGTCACGACCTTGAAGTAGCCTCTGGCACTTGACTGTTGTAGTGTGAAATCAACCCAAGGCAGAGTCCATAATGTGACATTTCCTGCTTAGAGATATGAGCTGGCTTCACTGCGACATGTCATCTGATCTTGGACGGCTTTGATGTCATCATTATTTTTTCTCTGATCAGCTGGTTGCCATGGTTATGCTGATGAATAGATGTGCATTATTGTCTTCTGACCCTGAAGCCAGGACGTAACTTGTCACCAAATGCAATTTTTGAAAAATTTACTCAGTACACATTTAATCTACATGTCAAACAGTCCACCTCAAAGACATTCTTATTTACTTAACAAAAAAAAAAAAAAAACCTATAGGAGAAACTAATTTCGAACATCAATGTAGTATGCTAATGTGAATTCATCAACCATATACTGTACATTTCAATGCTACATCAGCTCTCTCTCTCTCTCTCTCTCTCTCTCTCTCTCTCAATAACCTGGTACAAAATCATGAAGCCACTGCAAAAACACTCCATATATGAATCTATTCCATTTTCAATCATTTTAGGTCACAATCAATATGTTTGAAGAGACTAATGATGTGCCAGCAGCCACTCAATAATGCTCACATAATCCACTTTGACCAGATAATCACTATGATCTTGGCCGCCATAATGCAGGTCACAATTCAGACATGCTCTGCCTACACAGGCTACTGCTGGTATGAAGAACATGCAAAAATGCATGGTAATTATAGACATCAATTTTTTTTCTTACTTCAAAAAACAAAACTGAACTGAAGAAATCTCAAAGATTATCTCTTATATCTGGACCGGGTTTATGCGCGTGATATTGTTCTTTTCCTCAAATAATATTTATATTCATAACAAATTCACAGTGGGTAAAAACAAACGAGAAGCATCAGTTAATATTAAGTATAACAGGAATGTTGTTGTGCTACCTACTCAAGGCGAAAAAAAAGAAAATAAAACTTAGTTAACTCATAATCAATGTCTAGCAGTGCCTTCAAGTAATATCTATTTAATATGACAGAGAAATGTTCCCACAGCCCACCTTCAGAAAGCACCTGTCAAATGGCTTCTCAAATCAACAGGTGAAATGCAAGGAGATAAATATCACAGTTCAAAAATTTCACTTAGCCTTTCTGCTATCTGCAACTAGATCAGTTTAACCCCTTCCAACAAGTTCCAACAGGTTCCAACAGCTAAGTTATGCAGATTACAGCAGATATCATGGGAAAAAACTCCCTCATATTCTGTCTGTGGCATCTCTTTACAGCCTATGATCTGCCAGGCTTGTAGTGCTATGACCAAATTATGGTGAATAACCTGTGCAAAAAGAATTCAAGGTCAGCACAGAGATATTTGTAAAATGCCAAAACATACAGATGCATGACATGACCAGACTAATTCTCCAGAAATAATTTTGATAAGACTTTGGGCACAAGTCTTTCAGGTCTTTTTTCTTATTAACATCAGCCATTTATTTAGTGTATGAGAGAAAGCATCTTTGCCAAGTTCTGCAGTTATAATTTAGATATAAACCTTTGATTATTCAAAGCAAGAGTTGTTTTTCTTTAACCATGCTATAGTTTTTTTTTTCAGCTACTGATGAAAAGAAGTTAGAATTAAGACGTTTAAGAAAGATCTGAAGTTTAGTGCTCATTCACAATAAAAAAGCAAGTTTCCTTCTGAAGTTTCTTTTACAATGCAAGACCGTTTTCTGGGTCTCTCGCACGACAGCCAGATTTTCAAGTTAACACTGACAGGTATCTAATTTTTTTATGTCGGATGGATCAACAAAGATCATTTGGAAGACTGTCAGAAAATATATCTGTATCAGCCCCAGTAATTTTATCATTCTTGTGTCATTTAGCACATGCTGACAAAGGAGTGCTTGATGAAAAACATCCAATTAATCCCTACTACACTATATTAGAAGCTAATTCTAATACAAATAATCCATATTACCATGACAATGAAAATATCAAATATATCCCCAACACTGTATCTTGTTAATCACACAAAAAGCACCAATCAATGGAAAATGATCAACTTATCAAATATGTTGAAACATTTTCAGAACATCCGATCCATAGTGCAGTCCATTTTATCCAACTTAATGAGACAATTTCTGATTATGTGTGTGCCCTTTTCAATAATGGAAAACATAACTATGTAGACATGGAACAGCAATTGTGAAATGGTGACTGTTACAATATGCAAATGGCTGAAAGTAAATTATTTATTATAATAAATATTTGTCATAACAACCCTATACAAGTGGTTCAACTAACCAGTCATTTCATACAGTTTTATACACTTGATGGAATTTTCATGCAAAGACATCTTTGCCAACATGACATTTCTCAAAATGTGTAGAACTATTGTCTAATTTCTCAGCAATGATAGAATAACAGCTGTAAACAAAAGGTGTTCACAGAGAATGTTTAGAGTCAGCAACTGTGAGTTCAGGTTCTACACAGCTGCAGTATATTTATGTATGTGTTACGTACATAGAGAATCAATCAGAAATAGAACCAATCAATCAATCAACTGATTACACATCCTTCTTTTTCTTCTTCACAGGGCGGTATCTGAAACTGAAATAAAACTGGAACTATCACAACTTTATAGCCGCATTCAAAATATAAGCCAGTTCCTACTTCAGTCAGCTCCAGGATACAGGGGGATGAAGGGTTCTGAGATTATAGACTCCACCTCCAGGCCTGCTGGTCAACGAACTTCTGTCAAGATGGGGTGTTTGATACCTTGTCCAAATTTAAGACAGGCCGTCAGGATCCAGTTATCAAATGGTGGACTGAAATCAAGACAAGCTACAACTTACCTCTGTTTCCAGCCACTGTCTTTGTTGAAAATATTCTGACCACAGTCCTTTTCGCAAATTCCTGCCACTGCCACACAGGAGCCAGTTACAGTTTCCCCTATGATACGATATTACACAACACCATGGGGAGCTGAAAACAAGACAAGCCAGTCCCTACCTTTCACCGTGAGCTGGGTTCCTCCTAGATGGAATGTATCAAATTCGAGTTTCAGAGGGGTGTGAGAGGCGTCTATGAACACGTTCAGCTTGTCCACAATGATCGCTCGCTTTTCACATAAAGGCAACAAGGCATCCCTTTAATTCAAAGAAAATAAATCATCAAAATTTTGTTCTTACTAGAGTAGGAAATATTCAACAAAGTATCAAATTTGTAAAATGTGTTACTTACAGTTCAGTCTCTATTATAATACATGAATGCACTGTTAAGTATCTAATATATCTTTTGACCAATTTCACTATGATTCATTCCTGCTTTTCCTTTAACCTCGAGTAGTTTATACGCTTTGATCAACCTGCTCCAAATCAACATCTACTTGGGCAACTATACTAAAAATATTCATGGTGGCACACTCTACTATTGTCCAAAGAGACACTCACTAACACTTCATCTAAAATGTTATTGCATTTTCCTCAAATTATAAGGATGCATCCATTGCCTAACCTTCTGACAAAAATAATTTGTTCTCATTTGTTTCAAAAAGAAAACCATAAAGGGTTTCATCAGATTTAGCTGTCATGGACTTCCATGTCTAACCTGAGTGTCACGCCTGCCACTGCGGTGACTATTTCTATGTCTAACTCCTCAAACATGTCAAACTTCAGAGTGAAACAATCTCGACTGATGGAATGCTGGAAATAAATCAGATATGGAAAGTTATATCAAGTTTTCTTAGTTTAAAAATCAATCCGGAATTGATTCAAATGACCAGCATGGTGTCATATGTGTAGAATCTACAGAAAGCGCTGAATATGTGATTTTACAATAAAAAAAGTATTACAAATTCTGAAAGCATATAAATCATAGTAACATACTTCCATCTCAATTCTTGAACTTTGCATTTTAAATATCATTCATGGATGCTAAACTTAGGATGAGTCTTACATTAAAATACTCATGACCTTATATCTAAAAATGAACTGCTTTACCATCAAACACAATTTGTTAACACAAATACTGGTCTCATCCAAACACAATGATTGTCTCAACTAACACATTAGGTGGTACAGCCTCATCCCAACACAACCTAATGTCTCAATTACCACATTGAACCTCTCCATCACCCACTCTACACTCTTTTCACCCTAGACACAGACTAAGAGCAAGAGATATCTAACAGTTACTAAGTTCTATACTAAAACGGTATGTCAGACCTACACTATAAGAATATTAAACTTCTACATCTATCCTAATGAAAGAACATAGGCTTCAATAGGAAGATTAACAAAACACCCACATATATGACATGTTTAGATATTGATTAATACATAAATGGTTAGTTTCATAGCTAAGTAAAAGAAAGACCACGGATGTGAAATTAGCCAAAATTAGGGAAAAAAAACACACTGAAAGTAAGCATCTCATCTCCTTGTTGCAACTATGTTCTCATAAAAGACACTGGATTAAGAAGGTGAAGTAACATTGAACTTTTTTACTATTACACATAATGATGTTGAAAGGCCTATGAAAATCAGCTGAAGTCATACAGAGAAAACAAATAATGAAAATAATAACAAGTGCCTAAATACAATAGCTATCTCTAAGTTTTTAAGACACTAATGTTCTGCAAGAACATCAACACACAAATACGATAAACCCAACACATATAAAAACCAACCTAATCTCTTTTAAGTTTTTCTGCCAAAAAAAGCAATGAGGTAAGGAAAGATGTAAAAGGGGCACAAAAATACAATAGCTGCAAGAAACCCACATTATTCCAAATCCTAAAATGTATCCATAAAGAACTAACATTTAAAAACAAAAAGAAAAAACTAATAAACCCAAAAAATCAAAATCAACACTGAAACATGGAAGCAACCACACCATCAAAAACCTAGAATCTAAACACCTTTTTATCCCAGTCTTTTGACTTGCCACCTCGGCTTCTTTGACGGAGAGAGGCAGGTTTTTTGGGAATTTTATAATTAAACCAATCATCGCCCTGAACTACATGCTTTAAAAAATCCTCCGCCCCAAGGCTCTTGCTCCGCGATGATGCCAAATTACTGGACATCTGTTGCATGATGGGGGTAATAATAATAAATTAAGTTAGTTTGTAACAACCACCAACTAAAATCTTCACAGCACTCGAATAATGTCAAATACAGGGTTGGCGCAGTTCTGTTTTAACATGAAAATAAACAGTTGCAAGACTAGTTGTAATATTATCAGTCTCATATGGAATTCATATCTATTCATTTTTCATCAATTCACTACCTAAAAATATATACAAAATCTAATTTACAGCTGCACTGTATATTGTGTTGCCCCTGGTTACCAAGTGGATTTTAACATGCATTTAAAAATACTTCACATGAAAACACATTGCAACATTAACAAATACTAAATAAAAGGCCATTCTGTCTTGAAATGGCACAAAAATGTTCATAGTGCACAAATAACATGATTTTCTAATGTCACAGCCAACAAAAAATCACATGGTAAGAAATTTTATGACCTGGAACAAAGGCAGGCATAACTGCGTCGGGGGCAGATGTGAAAAAAGTTTATCGAAATGCAAAAAAAGAAAAAAAATACATAGCAAAAATAAAGCTAATGTCACAATGCTAATGTCTAAAATGTCTTATTTTGCTACAGTAACTTGATTTGTTTCAGATTTCTAAAATGTGCTTGAGCCTAATATCTGTGGCAAGTTTCATAGAAGTACACCTCTAAAAAGCCGCCTCATAAGTGACCAGCTTTGGTGATCATAGAAAAAGTTCTTTTATCGACATTCCTCATCCTTGTGCTCACTTAACCCTACACAATGACAAATGAACACCCTGCATGCATAAATAATAAATTTGAACATATCCATGGAATTAATATAAAAATAGGTCCATAACTCTAGGCACTAATTTGTGAGAGAGTGAAAAAAATGTAAGTATAGGGAAATCTGTGCAGTTTTTTATGAAGCCGTTTTCTTGTTGTACTGAAAGCAGAAGAGAAACATAAAGAAGTGAATCCATCCTCACACCGAGCTCCACTCTCTACAGCATGCAGTATATCAGTTTTATAGTACGTAATGTATACAATTACCTCCAATGCAAACTGTGAAGAGTTCGCTACTAGGGAATGCAGGGCAAATTTGAGGGGATGCAGAGTTTCCGATTGCTTTGCTTTGCTCAACTCCTGATATAATTGATACAAATTGTAATACATATAGTAAATCACACATTAGACCAATACCAGTTAAAACCAAAACCGTTTAGTAATTTTCTACTATCCTGCAGACCCAGATATACTAGTATAATGTATATACTTGATGCCAAAGAATAGGTCTGAAAGTTTTGAAGCTCATCTTTATCTTCAGGTATAGCTCAAAGTAACTGTTTTCATAAATCATAGCAGAAGTTGATAAATGAATAAGAAAATTAATATAAGTATACCAAAACAGTTAATTCTCAAATGGTCCCATCCTTCCACATATATTAATTGATAACCAACCACAAATGGCTATTCCACTTTCCTATCTTATTAAGTGCATATCTAATGTTCAGATTTGTTAGATAATACTGAAGCATTTTATTGTTATCAATCACTACGAATTGACTTTCTTCTCTATTTTCTACATATTAATAGAACCATGCTAGGGTACTGGTAAAGCATTGCAAAGATGACATTCAGACATGTAAAGAGATGACCTTGACCTTGTAAAGGGAGAGAGAGAGAGAAAATAATGTTGAAACATTGTTTTTTTTAAATCAGGCAAAGGGAAAACATCCAATTTTTAATAGGCATCTCCTCGTGTAATAACTCGACACTACCATCACCTAAATACAACAGAATTTAAGAAAATTTGATCATGCAGAAATAATTACTGAAACCAATAAAAAGCAAGAATGAACGTATTTGCAATAATCATGGATCTAAAGAATATCATAGACCAATAAGCAAACAAGTGAGAAGATCAACAAAATTAATATTTTTCTCAAATTTTCAGTTGTTAGAATTCTAAAGGCAGAACATGCACTCCACACTGTATTTGAGGTCTTAAGTAACATTTCTAGAAAGAAAAAAGAGCTAGGTTGAGCTTCAAGGTAAATGTGACATAAAAATGCTCACCGCAAATGTAATTCAGTACAACAATAATATAACAATTGTCTTTAAAAATAGGGCAAAGAATCTTGATACATAAAAAACAGCATGTGCATTTTTGAGGTGAACCAAGTGTCACATTTTAACAGGAAGTGAACCTAAGAGTCTGCTCAGACAATGACCATTTTGGACTGGAAATATACATAAACTTTCTCCATTATATTGTATATATATAACATGAGTTAGGATGATTTCCAGTCCAGTGGTCTCTGTCTGAACAGGCCTTGTGAATGCATGCAAATAATGCTACAAACTTGTGGAGGATCCGCATAATCCAGTTTCTTAGTGGCAAGATTAATTAAGTATTATATTAAGATGTAATTAATGGGAAAATATAAGTGAATCTATATTGTTTAATTATGTCCATTAATGGATAGTAATAAAGATACCGGTAGCAATAAAGATTTCCATATAAAGTAATAACTATAATATTTACATTTCAAATATTTCATGAGAAATCATTTGGTTGCCTTACATAGTTACACAAAAAGAGATATATATCTTATGGGCATTTTTTCTATAATACTGTTATAAGATAAGTTAGTAATCCTTTTTTAACAAAAAACAATACACAAACATTTGAATAAGCAGTAATTCCTCATAAATTTCAAATATTCTATCATTTCAAGATTTATAACTTTGTTGGATCAGAAGTAAAATATTTTGCTCTGTGCCCAACTCATTACTCTTAATTTTCCTGTCACAGTTCAAGCAATTATATATAGATCATAATTTTGCTGATTGCAAATAATCAGTTCCGTTCTAAAATTAGTGAGAAATTACTTTAATTACAGTTGATAATACCAATTAAAACAACACATTTCACACTGAAATAATAATAGCACTACTAGGTCTTAATTTTTAAAAGAAAAACTAATTCTCCAAAAGTACTAAATATTTGGGAGTTTAAACATGACAGTGCTTTAAAACGTAAATTAAGCCAAAATGAACAATATTATATAAATCTTTACCTCATTATTATGAAACTTCTTCTTCACAACTTTCTTGCGTTTAATTCTCGGCAGGGAACCATATGACTGTTGTGATTGCTCCCTGGAAGAAAAAGAGAAGTTTTGCATTCCAACATAGATCAAAATAGCACTCAAATCTAACAAGTCATTTTGTATGTCCAGCCCTGTAGTCAGCCATTTCAGAATGTGTGTGTGTGTGTGGGGGGGGGGAGGGGGGGGGGGGGAATGAGGTTACTTTTCTAGGAAAAAAAACATTAACCTTTTCACCCACTTCGCTGAACCATCCAGAAAAATGACACAGAGCTTAGATGACATTTGATAAAGCTTAATGACCAAGACACTGGTTACTTTAACCCCACCCACTCACCGAACCACCTTAGCCCACTGCACCTGATGTCACCTACCCCATATTTCTACTGTCCAGAGATCCTTTCCTCTCATAACTGATCCTTCCTCCACCTTCATCTTCAATGTCCACTGAGCTCTGACCATTGGTGCTCCCCTCCTGCAGTTTACTGGTACCAGCAGACACCTGCCTGGCCCCCTGGCCGTTCCTCTGGACACTGGTCACTGGGGTGTCTGGTTCATCCTCCCCCTCCTCCTCCTCCAGGTAGGTGACCTCCGCAGGCAGAGAGTGACTGGAGAGGTCATGAGGGAACCCCGAGGTGAAAACTGGAGAGAAAAATAAACGAAGTGTCATTTAGTTTTTATTACATGTAAATGATGTTATTAAATAATCTTGACTTTGGAGGAAAAGACTGGAGAGAAAAATAAACAAGATATCATATTAATACAAACTACATATAAATTATGTTATTATCTGGGAGTCCGGAGAAAAAGACTGGAGAGAAAAATTATCGAAATATCATATTACTTCCAATTACATGTAAATAATGTTATTATCTTGGAATTCGAGACAAAAAAAATGATATTACACTATTTCAAATTACATGTTTATTATACTTTTACTTGGGAATCTGATGGTAAAGGCTGGAAACAAAAAAAATTAAATTCGTCCCAAACTATGTGCTTATGCCAACAAATATTATTTTTCTAAAATGAACATGCAAGCTAATTAGAATTAAATTGAAAGAGCAGTGGAAACATTTCTATACAAGATAAAAAAATGGATACTTTTCCATCAGTCATAAATTTAATTCAACATGTATAAACTTCATTTAAGCCCTCTTAAATGTTACCTTTAGCCCTGTGTGGCAAATCGAATCGTAGATGCCCCTCGTGACTCCCAGACTCATGGAGGGTTTTGTCGCACTCTGCACACAGCATCAGCGGCTTGTGGCCATTTTGTTCCTGACAGTCGCTATGGTGACACACCTGTGAAGATAAGAGCATGACCATAAGACAGTTTCTGATTAAGAGACAAATTTACAGAAAAAATAGCACCTTAATTTGGCAGTCTCTGAAATTGCACCCTAGTCTAAATACCAGACTTCCACCTTTTTCAAATAAAAAAAAATTGTCACTGGTGTCTCCTACGAATGGCATCTTCCACACTTGTAGAGCTACACCTGTTTATGGCTTGTAAAAAGCCAGTTTCACAGTAGGGGTGAGTGGGTGCATAGAGTGCATTCATGGTACCAAGGCCACTGGGAGGCTTTCTTATGGATACTAGACAGGCCCGCAGCCAGGGGGGGGTTCGGGGGGTTCGAAAGAACCGCCCCTTTTGCTGGGAAAAGGTCCACTCTGGGTAAAATTTGATCCAGGTACATGGAGTTTTTAAGGAAAAAGGTCCACTTTTTCAGAAAAAGAACCCCCCTTTTGAAATTGCTGGCTACGGGCCTGCTAGATATTCACAGGCATTTTTCTGCCCAATTCTGTGCATATTTCTATACCTTGAGAGTTTTTACACAGAATATCAGAACTACCATCACCACTCTACCAGCCTCTGGTAGATAGAACATTCATGGTATAGATCTTAGGATGAAAAACAGTGCACCAGACTTGTGGTCACATCACTATGGCAACATGACATTCAATGGTTGCATATGGACACAGCGGTGGTATTGTATTTATAGTCATTTACACAAGGTTGTCAGGTAGGGTCTCAATTCACTCCAATTCCAGAAAAACAAAATTTCAGTTTTAAATTATCAGACTTGAAAACTGTCTTGAAAAAAAAACAAAACAGCAATCCCTTTTGATCTTTTTGCATCAGAAAAAAAAACGCTGCTGTGCATGATAGCATGAACCTTGATATTATCAGTCATAACAAAGTCAACATTAATTCTTATTGGAGAAAGCAAACTATCAACCAAGGTCCTCATGTTACACCTGTATTCTTCACACTATTCAAACATAAAAATGTATGCACAAAATATAATTTCTATTCCATCAAGGCAGACAAATAAGGGTTATGAAGTATTCATGTTTTTAAGCAATTTTTATACCAACAGCTTTCATCTACTGATAATGCATAAACACAGAACCTTTCCACGAGATTTGTACAATTTTGCATTATTCAGTATCTTTATTATTTCTTATTTAGAAAGAGGAACACCTAAGAAGGAGCTGTTGAAAACCACAGATTCTATTAAAACATTTATGTTGCAATCCTCTCTTCTGAACAGTGGACTAACTATTCCGCAGTTCAAANCATGTATAAACTTCATTTAAGCCCTCTTAAATGTTACCTTTAGCCCTGTGTGGCAAATCGAATCGTAGATGCCCCTCGTGACTCCCAGACTCATGGAGGGTTTTGTCGCACTCTGCACACAGCATCAGCGGCTTGTGGCCATTTTGTTCCTGACAGTCGCTATGGTGACACACCTGTGAAGATAAGAGCATGACCATAAGACAGTTTCTGATTAAGAGACAAATTTACAGAAAAAATAGCACCTTAATTTTGCAGTCTCTGAAATTGCACCCTAGTCTAAATACCAGACTTCCACCTTTTTCAAATAAAAAAAAATTGTCACTGGTGTCTCCTACGAATGGCATCTTCCACACTTGTAGAGCTACACCTGTTTATGGCTTGTAAAAAGCCAGTTTCACAGTAGGGGTGAGTGGGTGCATAGAGTGCATTCATGGTACCAAGGCCACTGGGAGGCTTTCTTATGGATACTAGACAGGCCCGCAGCCAGGGGGGGGTTCGGGGGGTTCGAAAGAACCGCCCCTTTTGCTGGGAAAAGGTCCACTCTGGGTAAAATTTGATCCAGGTACATGGAGTTTTTAAGGAAAAAGGTCCACTTTTTCAGAAAAAGAACCCCCCTTTTGAAATTGCTGGCTACGGGCCTGCTAGATATTCACAGGCATTTTTCTGCCCAATTCTGTGCATATTTCTATACCTTGAGAGTTTTTACACAGAATATCAGAACTACCATCACCACTCTACCAGCCTCTGGTAGATAGAACATTCATGGTATAGATCTTAGGATGAAAAACAGTGCACCAGACTTGTGGTCACATCACTATGGCAACATGACATTCAATGGTTGCGTATGGACACAGCGGTGGTATTGTATTTATAGTCATTTACACAAGGTTGTCAGGTAGGGTCTCAATTCACTCCAATTCCAGAAAAACAAAATTTCATTTTAAATCATGACAATATCTGACTTGACAGCTGTCTAGGGGAAAAAAAACAGCAATCATTTTATTTTTTCATTTTTTTATTTCATTATTATTATTAATATTTTATTATTATTTTTTTTTTTATTATTATTATCATTACTATTATTATTATTTTTTTTTTGCATCAGATAAAATAGTCAATGTGCTGCTTAACTTACAGAAAACACCACTGCTGTGCATGATAGCATGAACCTTGATATTATCAGTCATAACAAAGTCAACATTAATTCTTATTGGAGAAAGGAAACTATTAACCTGAAGGTCCTCATGTAACACCTGTATTCTTCACACTATTCAAACATAAAAATGTATGCACAAAATATAATTTCTATTCCATCTAAGCAGACAAATAAGGGTTATGAAGTATTCATGTTTTTATACCAACAGCATTCATCTACTGATAATGCAAAAACACAGAGCCTTTCCACGAGATTTGTTTAATTTTGCATTATTCAGTATCTTTATTATTTCTTATTTAGGAAGAGGAACGCATAAGAAGGAGCTGTTGAAAACCACAGATTCTATTAAAACATTTATGTTGTAATCCTCTCTATGGCCATTTTCAGAACAGTGGACTAACTATTCCGCAGTTCAAATATGGCGACACACTAAAAAGCTTGCTGTCTAATCCGCTAACAGACACTGAAAAATAATTAACTGAAAATGTTAAATATCTTAGACCAGTAGTTCTAAGTCATGTTTCATCTAGATGATTGTTTTGCAGCATGCCTGATATTTTGGGTGGACACCTTTAATATTTTTTTTGGTTTAAGGCTCAGTTTGATGCTGAAACCATCGTGAAGGCAAGCAGCTAGTAACTCACCACACTATACACATGGACTACAGGTGCTTCATCCGGGGACTGGTCACTACTACTACTGGACAGGTCCACTTCTTTGACCACCACTAACTGATGGTCATCCTCCATGTTCACTTCTTAATACTTCTTTACTTATAAGTCACTTGTTTATCAATTTGCAGTAAAATTTCAAAGATTCTACTACGGTATGTGAGTTCACTAAGTGACAGATGATGTTGGGGGCAGCAGTGGGGGGGGGGGGGAATCATGTGTTACACTTGGACATGATGATCAATTGGAGTCACAAAAAAAATTACAAGCAGCCAATCTGTCTGATGTCTTCATCAATAACACAGAGATCTATCCAGTATATATAACAGTCAATTTGATCTCTAGAGATAAATGTTCAAGTCTTCACCATCTCAGAGTTTCTCAGAGTTTCCAATCAATATATATATATGTGTAACACTAGTCACTTTGTATATATACAGTACTGCAGTACAGTAGGCAAGGGGACATCAAACAACAGATCCTTTCTCACTATATAAGAACTCAGGTGTGCCAATTCCTTCTTCGTGTTTATAATCACTGGCTGTGGAATCTGTGTCAATATTACACAAACCACAATAATGTCCCAGGTACACAATACACAGGTGCCCTTGGTAGAGCTATAGTGAGGTAGATACTGAGTACTACTTCCACTGGTGTGAGACTGGGGAAATATGATGTTTTTGTGACTGTGAACAACACAGAGCATCCTTTTATAATTACTTCATCTTTCCACTCTATTGCCTTTCCTTTCAAGGTCTCATGAGGACTGCCGTACTCATGATCAGTCCATCACTTATACTTTACAGGGCAGGTGAGTAACCTAACCGTTGAATCCCTCATCAACTAGCTCACTCCAGGATACTTCTGCTCTTACAGGTGCTTCATTGTTACAGCCTACCACCTCCACCTGGTGGTCATGTTCTAAACCTCTGACATTACGATGTAAGGATCCTGGTATAAAAAACTAGGTACTTTTACAGGCCTCCTCGCCAAGAATATATCCAGTTCTTTCCTTTCAAATTAATACTACAACTGAGTCCATCTAGACACCTGTACGCCTTGGGGTCCGAGAGAAAAAAATTCAGTTCAGCCCCCTGTGTTGAAAGATGCACAATACAAATAGTGCAGCTAATGTCTCCACAGTGTACATCAATATCGCATTTGGGAGGTACACTCCATGCATAAGAATGAACGAACAGGTATGCCAGCACTCGTAGACTCTGTATACACTCTCACAGAGCAGATACTAAAATATTCTGTGCCACATTCCACTGCATTCACCTCAATACAGAAGTCACCTGTCTGTTGACAATACTGTTTCCCTGTCAAAGTCATTAAATGAACCTATTGGTGACAAGGACACCCCCAGACCCCCGTGTGCCACTTTTTGCTGGGTGACACCTTTTTGTTATGCCATGACCCAGATGATGTCTTTGTCTCCAGGGCTGGGTGACAATTTTGTTATGTGACACTCTTCTTCACTAAGACCTTAGTGACAATTGTGAATGACCCGAAAGTTATGTTATGGGAAAGTTTCATATTTCTTAAGTAACAGAGAGAGAGAGAGAGTGAAGCCAGTGCATTCTTTCGGCATTCCAAATTATCTTACTTTTTGGCTTCTGTTGACAGCATTGCTAGTAATTGTGAATGTTGATGAAAATCATCAAACAAGCCTAAAACAAAACTGTCAGCACTTCCTGATAGGGTATGAGAATGGAAAACATGCAACGATCTGCTTGAGGTGTGTCAAACCTTTTCTTTAAGCAACAAGGGTGGAAATCTATGCAGCGGGAATATCATCTAAATTAGCAATACAAAAGTAGCATTCAATACACTGCTGTGCAATAGACTATAATTCAGAATCTACAGAGCTTGTAAAAGAAAATTTTTTGTGGCTAAATTCTGTTAGAGTTTTATTCCTTGGTGCATTCCAGTTGCTAGTCTGCCATTATCTCTGACCCCACTCTTCTCCAAACCCTGCGAAATCTCACTTAATGTTATGCTAGACTTTGGCCAATGTCGGATGGATTCTATTGTGAATGTTTAAATTCCGAGTGCCACGAAGCTGATCAAATACGCTCATGGAATCAGGTGCACAGTCTACTGGTACTTTGATATAATCACATCTATATTGTCTTTACAAGTGAAAATATTCCTTGTTCTCAATATTTTTTTCAACAACAAGAAACATTTAACTTTCTAAAATTCAATGAAATGTTTCACTTTTTTCTCTCATCATACATAATGCATTACTCAAGCAAACTCGGTACAGATTCTGTTTCACAATCTTTCTCTCTGATTGTGAGACTTATCAACTAAACAAAAACATTTTTTCTCAATGACAAACAAAAACTGTAGATAAAGACAGATAACTTAACCTGACAGTAATTGAAACCACCATGTTTGTTACTGGTAACATTTTGGTTACTACACCCACACAAGTATAGAAATAACTACTCTTAACCACATGAATCCTGGTCACCCTGTAGCACAGGGCTCGTATTCCAACCACTACTGAACACTAATGGTATCCCATATGTGATTTCCACACCAAATCTTATAATATATTCCTCAAGTAAAAAGCAATTTTTTCCTTCTTACAAATTATTATTGGACCTATCCATGAACTTAGATTGGATGTTTTATATCACTTTTATTTAAATAATTCAGTTTTAAAGATGGACAGATAAAACACTCTTTACATGTATGTACTTTCGAGTTCTAAATGACTCATGAGTCATTTCGACTTCCATGTTTTTCTGACATTTCAAAAGGAAGTATCAACATTGAGTGCTTTATTTGAGGGGTTTAATCATTTTAAAGGTCTAAATTGGGAAAGCTCTACAGGATATTTAGGCATAAAAATATGACTTTAAGGTATTTTCAAACATGAGCAGGATACCTTTAAAGAAAGATATCCTTGATCTTGTTGCAGTAGAAAATCTATAAATGAAATGAACTAAAATTACACTCAAGCAAGTTATAAATACTATATGTTGTTAAAATAAAATATTTAGCACCCTTTATTTCCTACTCATTTTCCAAAATGCTCAAGTGATGGAGGTGGGTTCATTGGAAGGAGGATTCAAAGAAACCACCTGGAAAAAGGTTCATCCTGAATAAAAAAAAATGAACCAGCTTCTATGCTATTTCTCAAGCTGCATGAACTAAGGAGAAAAAATTATTCACTTTTTCAAAAAACAAAAAATATCAATCTAAGGAAGGTGCATGGAACTGACCAAGTAAGTTAGAATCTGAACCATAAATATGAGATTCAGTTCCCCCCTTCCCTCTAAATCTAATAATTCATCACATACAACTTGTCATGTGACGTCAGATTTCTATT